CCGCTCTGCGCGCTCACCGACACGTAGGACGACAGCGCCCGCGGCTCCAGGTCGCTGGCCACGATGGAGTAGGAGACGCGGCCGTTGGGTCCCAGGTCGGGGTCGGAGGCGCTGACTTGAGCGATGGAGGCGCCGGCAGGGTTGTTCTCCGCCACATGGACCACGTAGGAGGCCTGATGGAAAACCGGGGCGTTGTCGTTGACATCTGCGATGTGCAGAGTGACGCTTATACTAGAGGAGAGGGGCGGCCTACCTCTGTCGGTGGCCATTATAGTGACGTTGTATTCCGGGATCTCCTCCCGGTCCAGGGCCCCATCTGTCACTAGCTTGTAATAGTTCTTCGAGTAAGATTTCAGTATGAACTCGGCCTTTCCCAAGATGCGGCAGTAAACTTCTCCCTTTTCTCCAGAGTCTCTGTCTCTTGTTTTTATCAAGGCGATCACTGTTCCTGGTGGTGAATTCTCTGGTAGGGGAGTAAATACTGAAGTCACAATCACTTCAGGTGCACAATCATTCTCATCGAGAATTTCGACTTGGATACTGCAATGGGCTGCTAGATCGCCAGGATCTTTTGCTTCTATACCGAGAGTATAACTATTAGCAATTTCGAAATCAAAACCATCCTTTGTCGTGATTTCTCCAGTTTTTTTATCTAAGTTAAAAAATTGTTCCACTTGTTCGTCCACATTATGAAAGGAGTAGGTGATCTCCGCGTTGACACCCTCGTCCTGGTCGGTGGCCGTCACTCGAAGCACGGAGAAGCCTGGGGGCACGCCCTCCTGCAGGCTGACCCTGTACACGTCCTGGCTGAACACCGGGGGGTTATCGTTGGCGTCGGTGACTTGGATTTGGATCTGGGTGGTGCCGCTTTGCGGTGGGTCCCCACCGTCCACAGCTGTGAGGACTAACTGATGGAAATTCTGCTCTTCTCTGTCCAGAGAATGTTTCAGAAGCAACTCAGGATATTTACCTCCATCTGGAGTCTGTTTCTCTGAGAGATCAAAGTACTCATTGTCATTAAGGTGGTATCTTTGCAGTGAATTAGGACCAACATCGGAATCCAGGGCCGGGTCTACTGGAAATGTTTTACCTGGCTTAGTGGATTCTCCAATTTTTAAATCAATTTTTCTCTGTTTGAATAGTGGAGTGTTGTCATTTATATCCTGCACTATTACTGCTACATGGAAAATATTTAGTGGGTTTTCAGCGACAGTATCGAAACCCAGAATACACAGAGGCTTCTTCCCGCAAATCTGCTCTCGGTCTATTCTGTCACTCACAAGTAAGTCCCCGCTCTCAGGGTTTACAGTGAAATATTCCTTCTCCGCGCTAACCCGTAGCTTCCGTGCTGGCAAGTCCCGGACACCGAGCCCCAGATCCTTGGCGAGGTTTCCTACCACCGAGTTCTTGGCCAGCTCCTCAGGAATTGAATAGCGGATTTGGTCTGGGAGAGCCCCGCGGAACAAAGACAGTAGGAAGGGCAACAATACCTGCCGCCACCGCGCCGGGCTGCTCCTCTCTGCGCTCAGCCTCATCCTGTGTCTCCCTCCACTGATGGCTCTTTGGCCGGGAGGAGGAATAAGCCCTCGGTGGATGGCAAAATCCGGGGTAGGGTCCCTTTTCTTGCTTTTGTTTTTTGTATCCGAAACTGCACTGGCCTCCTCTGTGTAGTTGGTTTGAGCAGGAAGTTACTCTCTAAGAGGCTCCCAAACGCGTCGCTGATATCTTTTCTCTTCTTTTGACCTACAGCGACGCCCAGAGGTTTTCCCGTGAAACTGCACCAATGGCTTGTAAATGTTTTGCAAAGAACTATTGTTTCTCTTTTCTTTTTTGGATTTATAAAGGGTATTTGTTTTTCAATAGGTATACATTCATTCAATTCCAAATTCAAAAGGATGATATGGCATATTCTATAGGCTCTCCCTCTCTGCTTTCAACAACACATCTCTCCCAGGAGAAATGATTGTTAGATTTTTTGTGTATCATTCCAGAGATATATTTTGTATAGTGCAACAGATTTTTATAAATGTTCCCCCCCTTTTATACACAGATGGAAGTATACAATATACCATGTTCTGCATCTTGCTTTTTTTACTTATTATATCTTGAAGATCATTTAATATCAGTACCTAAAGAGGTTTCCCATTTATTCCTTATAGCCATGCAGTAGTCCATCATATGGTTGTACAATAATTTATTTAACCAGAAATATTATTTTCTAAAAGAAACCCAGTGCTCATTCAAACAAAAATATATTTTCCATGTGGTATTAGGTTATAAATTATCTATTGCTCTCCCAGGCATTTAAAATATGTTTCACTCTGATTCTGGAATGTATTCCTAATGCCACCATCCAAATATGTTCAACACAGTTTCAGGCTAATTGATATTTCCAAATTATATTTTAAGGCTTCAGAATTTTAAATAATTTCTCCTCAGATATGATTTTTCTCTCAGTATTCATTTGTTATTTCCTCGTTACTGTCTCCATGGCAGCTAACTGTATCAGATCACATTCTTGTTTATGTATTTGCACCACAGTTTCCCATGAAGACAAAAGCATTTAGAAACTAAAACTCTCCTTCTTAAGTTGAATCGAGGCATTATCCACAATCTATTGCTACACTTTCCAGGTATCTAAAGGTCACTAATTTGTGTAGCCCTAGACATTCATGAATTCTGAATTAAGTCACAGAAATAAGTGAAGGGACAAGGAACAAAAGTGTTGCATGTCCCTTGCACACAAAATATTTCCCCCATATTCAGAGCACCTCAGAGCCACACAGTGATAAAGCAACCTGAGAGTAATTTGCAGGAACAAGGATGAGGCCTACTTACTAAGTAGCATAAATCATATCACTTCAGAATCCAAGTTACCCAACCTTTATAAGTGGCTCCCATGATGAAAAAAGAAAGATTTTTAAAAGTTGTATTTTCCTTAGAAATCGAGAAGGGTCTCATAATGAAGCCATAATAGGTTATTTTTGAAATTATTAAAATTACTCCTCCAACCTACTTAAATATGAGTGAAATAAAATGGGCAATATTGTTGGTAATCACAGAAGCGCACCGAAGAAATCACACACAGTCACTGCTGGTGCTTCTCACAAACTGCGACAACAAAATATTTGAAACAGACTGGTCTAGTCTGTTAAAATTATACCTAAAAGTTAAAGATTTTCCCCAGTATTTATAAATTGCCATTGTTTAATTATAATGGAAAACACCCTTTCAACGAAAGACAAGTAAACTTCAAGCAAAGTATGTTACGGTGTAAAAAGAAGAAATTTAAAAATACTCAGTCCAGATTCAACAATAGCTTCATAAGAGAGAATACTTTAAAATGAATTTACACAATTGCCTTCAATTTCACAGTTCTAATCTATCTTTTCAGTAATGCCTAAAGGAAAATGGCATTTAAAGAAAAGAGGTGATTAGAAGTATAAAGATTAAGAAATTGTTGCTGAAACTACACCTGAACGAAGATTAAAAAGGATAACTAATAAACAAATAATTTTAGGTGCAGTAGCTATTATTGATCATTATTGAAGGATCATCTGCCCCTCCCCTTTAAAGCAACAAGAGCACTAAAAACAAGTGACTTTATTTGATATATTATGTATCTTATACAATTGGAGACAATTAAACAGCTCTCTGCCTATGTTTCAGCGTGGCAAGATTGACTCACCTGATGAAGATTGGGGTCTCCTTTTGTTTCAAGTAAATCCTGAGTTATCAGAAGAGGCTTGCTTTTCTCACAGCTCTCCTGGCTGATGAGCGTGTCTGCGTAGTTGGGCTGGGGGAAGACCAGGTGGCTCTTCCGAGAGTCAGCTGTGAGGGAGACCTCGTGGGAATAGGTCTGCAGGAAAGCCTGCACCCTGTCCACACCCAGGAAGTGAGAGGCAGGCATGCCAGCCAACCTGCCTCCAGTAGCCTGCAACCAGCGCGAAGTGTGCCAGCGCCGCAGTCTGAGTGCCAGCAGCACGATGACAAAGACGAGGAAGACACAGGAGACCACAGCCACCGCCACCACCAGGTACAGGGTGAGGTCTGAGTCGTCAGGATCGGCTGAAGGCTTGAGGCTGCCCAAGTCGGTCAGGATGTCTGGGATGCTGTCAGCCACGGCCACGGTGAGCGTGAGGGTGGCTGAGAGAGGGCGCTGGCCATGGTCCTGGACACCCACCACCAGGCTCTGCTTGAGCGCGTCTCTGTCCATCAGGGCCCGCGCAGTGCGCACCTCGCCTGTGTGCAGCCCCACTGTGAAGAGCCCTGGCTCGCTGGCCTTGAGCAGGTGGTAGGACAGCCAGGAGTTCTGACCTGAGTCTCTGTCCACTGCCACCACCTTGGTCACCAGGTAGCCAGGCTCTGCAGAGCGGGGCGCCAGCTCCACACCGGTGGAACCATCATTGGGGAGGGTGGGGTACAGGATTTCGGGTGCGTTGTCATTCTGGTCCAAAATGAACAGGCTCAGAGACACGTTGCTGCTGAGTGGAGGATCCCCACTGTCACTGGCTGTCACCAGTAGCTGCAGATCTCTAACCTGCTCATAGTCGAAGGAGCACAGCGCATACAGGACGCCAGTGTCAGAGTTGATGGAGACGTAGGTGGAGAGAGGCACACCCTGGAGCGTGTCCTCAGCTAGGGAGTAAGTGACTCTGGCGTTCTCAACGCTGTCAGGGTCCTGGGCAGTCATGGATAAAATGGAGGCACCTCTGGGGTTGTTTTCAGGAATGTAGGCAGAATAGGAAGCATGAGAGAAGGCAGGTGGGTTGTCATTGATGTCTGCCACCTGCAGTGAGATGTGAGTTTCTGTAGACAGTGGTGGAGTTCCGTGGTCAGTGGCAGTTACTGTGATGTTATATTCTGAGACTTCTTCCCTATCTAGAGTTCTGTGTGTCAACAACTGATGATAATTTCCATAGGTCTTTACAAGCTTGAGTGGCAGATTACCTGGAATAGAACATGTGACAATGCCATTCTCTCCTGAATCATTGTCATGCACATTGAAAAGTGCAATTACTGTGCCTGGGGAAGAAGTTTCTTGGATAGAGCTGGTGAGAAACGTAACTGTCACTTCTGGAGCATTGTCATTTACATCCAGAACTGTCACCAGAACCTTACTTCTGGCTCGGAGACCAGGCCCATCGTGGGCTTCTACATCTATATCATAGAATCCAGAGTACTCATAATCTAGATTCCCCAATATTGTTATGTCCCCAGTCAGAGAATTCAACTGGAATAGCTGGGATACTTTATCTCTTACTTTCCGGAAAGAATATGTCACTTCTCCATTGGCTCCTTCATCTGGATCAGTGGCTTTTACGGTGAGTACCGGGGAACCAACTGGCAGGTTCTCCCGAACACTCACGTGGTACTCGGGCTGAGTGAATACGGGGGCATTGTCGTTGGTATCCACAAGTGTGATGTGAACCCTAGCAGTGCCAGAGTGAACCCGGTCGCCTCCATCGAAGGCGGTGAGAACGAGGTGGTGAAGCGCCTCTTCCTCGCGGTCCAGGGCGCGCTCCAGCACCAGCTCGGGGTACTTAATTCCATCGGCTCCGCTTTGCACGTCCAGAGAGAAGTGAATATTCGAGCTGAGCTGGTAACCCTGCAGGGAGTTTACCCCTACATCCGGATCAAAAGCTTCTGGAAGAGGAAATCTTGTCCCAGGATTTTCATTTTCAGCGACTTTTATTTCCCTTTGCTCTGTCCCAAAGTTGGGCGCGTTATCATTAACATCGAGTATTTCCACTTCTACTCCAAAAATCTTCACTTTGTCCTCTAGGAGAATCTCTAGGTTTACTACACACTTTGGAGATCTGTCACAGAGCTCTTCCCGGTCTATCCTGCCCGCAGTGACCAAACTGCCGCTTTGCGAGTTTAGAGCGAATAGCTGCGTCCTACCTCTGGAGACGATGCGGACCCCGCGCTCCGCCAGCTCCCGGGCGTCCAACCCCAGGTCCTTGGCGATGTTGCCCACGAAAGAGCCTTTCTCCAGCTCCTCAGGCACAGAGTAGCGGATCTGTTCGGCCCCTATTCCCCACAGGGCCCCCAAAAGAATGCAGATCCAGACCAGTCGGCTGCAGTCTGGGCGATAAGGAGGAGCCGCCATTACAGCCCCGCTGCGGAATAGCTTGCGCAAGGGGTGTTCCCTCGGTGGGGGCCTGAGGAGCCCCAGGATCTTCCGGGTCCAAGATAATATGCTTTCACCGTTGGATGCTGGAGCTCTTGCGGGTCCAGTTTGAAGCTTTCAGGGCCAGTGCTTTTTGATGCAGAAATCTTGTGGTTCGGATTGAATTCCTGGTTGTCTTTTTTTCCCCGATTGGTGAACAGCGACACTCAGAGTCCTAACCTGATACTGCAATCTATTCTTGGTAAATAAAGTATCTCTTGTGTACACCATTTCTTTTCGGTGTCCTATTTCTCCCAAAAGAATGCAATTCAAACTCTTGTTGTTTGATTTGCAACGAAAATCTAGGAGTGATCCAAAGCTTTCTGTACAATAAGCCTTATAAAGTGATATATTTTTTCAGAGAAAATATGGTGATTTTTTTTTTTTGCTAAGAATTTTTTCTACCTCTTTTTAAGTTTTTACATATTTATTCTCATAGCCCATTCTCAGTACAGTGTATTGCGTGAGGGACACATTTATCCCTCCCAGGAACAAGGATAGACTTGAAGAATGGAAGAACAGATAGGTGAAGACAGTGTCCGGGGAGTTGGAGGTCTGGGTTCTAGTCCCAACCCATGCAGAAACAAGTTTCCTCATCACGTGAGCTGACCCTTTAGAATCTGGGGTAACTTTTCAATTCCCTTGTAAGAAAATATCTACTGTTCAAAAGCTAGTCTTAACCCCCTACCCTGTGCAAATGGGCTTGGCAAATATGTTAATAGGTTTGGGAAGAGAATTTTCTCATTAATTTTGTATATAGAACATTCTAGGCCACAAGCTATGTCTGTAACTGTCATGTTCACAGTGTGTCCTCAAACTTTAGAACAGCACCTTTCATAGAATATACAGTCAAATCGTTTTTCAGTGTTTAATGAACGAGTCACTAATGCAACCGCAAAGCCTAAAACAATGGGTAAACAACTCTGATCTTAAAAATAAGTAATAAAGACAGAAAAGTTAAACTGAAGCACTCTGAAAAGCAGACAATATTTCAGTGATCTTTTTTCACATAAGGACACATACTGAAAGTATTATTTTACTATCATTTATAAGTTTACTTTAGCTTTGATTTTAGAAATAAACAGTAAGAGGAAATATTTTAGTAGTTGCATATATACTAGCAGTGCATGTTGCATGGTTTTCTTATTCATAAATACTTAGAGTAATTCACTAATCTGAGAAAACTTAAGAAAGCAGCAAGTAGCCAGTTCTTTAGCCAGTTCACATAATAATTAGCTTCTAGAAATTACTTATAAATTTTAACTAGACACAAAAGTCCATTAACTAGTCAGAGTTTTTAAATCTTCAGACTTCAGAGAGCAGATTAAGGGTATTTTTCACACTCCTCAAAGGACTCACAAATTGCTGTGGATTGGGAAGTAAAATGAAATGTCATGAAAAAATTTAACTCACTTCTCAGAAACCTATATTAAGAAAAAGAAATATGGAAAAGGCTTTATATACAAAAATGTTCATTACATTCCTTATTATAATAGTGACAAAGTAGAAAGGATATAAAAATAAATTATTAAAGAACAGTTAAGAAAATTATTCTTGAATAAGATTATGGAGCGGGCATAAAATTGACCCAAAACTAACTAGTGATTCAAACGTAAAATCTGACAGTCTTTGCTACTTGTGATAAGGCAAAGAAGTGCTAAGAGACTCAATTATTGGACGGCTATATTTAAAATGCACCTGGGCCTGCAGGTGGCGTAGTGATTAAGTTCGAGCATTCTGCTTCGGTGGCCCCGGGGTTCGTGGGTTCGGATCCTGGGTGCGGACCTAGCACTGATTATCAAGCCATGCTGTGGCAGGTGTCCCATATATACAAAAGAGGAAGATGGGCACTGATGTTAGCTCAGGGCCAATCTTCCTCAGCAAAAAGAGGAGGATTGGTAACAGATGTTAGCTCAGGGCTAATCTTCCTCTCACACACACACACAAGCACGTTGCAGCAAAAAGATAAACAAAGTAGAATGTATTTGATGAAGATCAACATAAACTTTAACTTACACAGAAAGAATTGTCAATATGAGTAAAGCTGGAAAAAAATAGTATCATGCATCAACTAAGAAAGGGCAGTGCTATTACTAAAGGTGACATTCAAGAAAAAGCTCTCCTTAGCAAGATTTGCTTACTATACAGAAATGCCAACAGAACAGATTAAGAAGTGGTAATTAGGTAACTGCCAAGACTACTGAGCAATCAAGGAATGAATCTCCACCCTTCCAACAGATCTCCTCTCCCACTACCATCATTAGAACAATGAACAACGACCAAAAATAATTATGCACGATTGAGAATAAAACACAATACATAAAATTTAAGCAGGTTTCCAGAAACTCACGTGAGAGGAAAAAGAGGAGTCTTTAGCGATTTGGGGGTCTTCACCGCTGGCACATATATCCACAGAAGGATCTTCACACAGGAGGTCCCGAGGGGGAGCCATTTCCGGTGTCAGGTTGGGAAAATTAAATTTGGTCTTTGCTAAATGCGAGGCAACACACAGATTGTAGGAATAGGGCAAAGTCCCTTCGTTGTAGTTGAGGGGAACCCTCGGTCCAGACTTGGAGCAGAGACCAGGCTGAAAGCAGCCCCAGGCGGCGGGGCTGGAGGAGTGTCGCAGGCGCAGGGCGATTGCCAGAATCACCGCGAGGAGGAAGAGTACTGAGATGAAGGCCAAGGCCACCACCAGGTAAAACTGCAGCTCAGCCTGGGGGTCAGAGGGTGTAGGATGGTCGCTGAGATCCGGCAGCGCCTTTTGGAGGCTGTCAGCGAAAATCAGGTACAGCGTGGCGGTGGCCGAAAGGGGTGGCTGCCCCCCATCCCGCACGGCGACCAGCAAGCGCTGACGGGCCGCGTCCCTGTCGCCCAAAGCACGCGCCGTGCGCACCTCGCCCGTGCGCAGCCCCAGGCTGAAGAG